GGAGCAACAGTGATGATAGGTGATGATGACAAGGCAGATCAGTTAACCCAGAATTAAGCACGATAACTTCTAGAGGAATTGCAAAGAGGACGACCTGACACGGTATATTTCCTCTCTCTTTTTCGCAATTTCATTATTGGAAAGAGAAGAGTCAGTCGCAAAATGAAGTCTTGGTTCCACATTACCCGGAAGTAGATGAACATTGCGTAAGCAGTCGAATTATTCCATCTCGCAAAAGGACAGATTCCGTGAGCTGATAGCTAACCTATGTTAGCTAGAGAAGCACTATAAGAAAAAAATAGGATTTGCTAGGCTTCATTACTAAAAATCCTTTCTCCTTAAGGTTTGGACAATGTCTTTGTATAACATGTATGTATTTACAGAAGTCTATACTTTATTTGAGACTAATAGAGAATGCCTGACTAGACTAAATAAAGACCCTTACCTAAATACTTGTAAGTCTCATACCATAAAATTGTTCGTCTAAGTAAGGTTTATATTTGAATTGTTAGAATTGGATTAAAATAAATAAATCTTACAATTTATATCTAAGGTTTCGTACGGTGATACTCAGGGGATACAAATTAACTGTCAAATAAGTTTCCCCAACTTGTTTAGATTTATTAACTGCAATATTTAACAAAAGTTTTGACATAGTATTAGATTATTTATTAATATTGAGAAGATTTATTTTCTCGTTAACTCTTTTCCTAATTAAATGATATTATGAAAGTGGCAGGCAAAAGATCGATGACATTAATATGGAATCGTACAGTATGTAATTATTTATATTTATAATAAGTTTACTATTGTAATCTTTTGAAGGAAACAATAAAGAGTATCTATCTATCTATGATTTGGGTTTATTGAAAGAAAGCTCTTGTAGAGTGAAGCCGTGTTTGTACAATTACTATCTGTCTATTTCTATATGTATAATAAAGTATAAATAAATAAATAATTGAATAAGACCGAATGAATGAATAAATTAATAAATATGTTGTAAAAGAGGACGCTTAAATTTACTAATTAAATTTACCAATCGTGATTTTGGGTTCTTTTATCAGAGACAAAATTTGTACAAAAGTCTTCTCTATGTATACATCAGTCCCATTTCTTTTTGCCCTATATCAGATGCACTTACGCGGTTGTGTTTATTTATTTATGTATTTGGAAGACCAACAGCTTTTCCTACAGTAACAGTAAATATTTAATGTAAATTATTATGAGAAACAGATAGCCAACAATAGTTCTCCACGCATAGTTAAGGAATATAAAACAAATGTTTCCGTATATAGAGTGGGTTGTTGTAAATTAAAGGCTATGAATAAGGAGGCATAACATCTTAGTACTTGTGATGAAGGGATTGTTAGCCACGGTAATTACTGATCCTGTTAGTCGTGGTATACTCTGTCAGGTTGATGTGCAAGTAATTCTCTTTGAAAACCATCGTCGTTAATGTCTGATTAATTTGTCACGATGGGCCAACTGAGTTATCGTCACCTATTATCCTTCATTAGTACCCCTCTAGCATGTATTAATAGTGCAGGCGGGGACAGCATCCCATGATCCGTGTATTTAACTATATCAATGGTGCTGTTCATATCTATAGGTGACGATTAATGCTTTTCGACAGATAGGCTGTCAGCTTCTTTTCTACTCTATATATGCAAACGAATAACTATGAAAAAAAAAACTAACAAATTGACAATATCCCTTTAGAATGTCCAATAAAAAGGTTATGAATAACATGTTATGTTTATTCGACATCACAAAGTCCGTACCCAATATAAAATATGTTGTTCTCTACAAAGAAAAATATGACTTTCTTTCGAAGAAAAATTATACGTATAAAATATTTAATATAAAAATCGTTTATAAATTAATGAGAATAACAGTAGAATACTAGGAATTTTTAAAATGCCTCCCTGAATTTATTTTTAATGTTTACAATAAATAAATAAGAATATCTAAGAGATTGCAATGTCGGGATTCTTAGTAAGTACAGTAAGAATTTCAAGCACGCAATTAATTGTCACATTTTTTTGGTTGTTCATTATTATTTAAATAATGAAAAAAAAGTTTATTGTATAAAAGTGTACTAAAAGTGTGTGAGATTTGGGATAGAGTATACTATATATTAACCCAGGATATATATATACTTGTGTGTATATATATATATATATATATATATATATATATATGTTTATCAGCGGACAGTTAACGGCATATTACCAAATTTCTTTAGAATCCGTCCATCTATTTAATCGTGAGTTTAGTAATTATAACATTTTTCATCGTGACAAATTATGTAACGATCCACGTAATGAAAAGTAATAACCACATCCTTATAGTTAGGTAGGTTGAGTTGATTTTAAACCAATATCTCAGTAAAAATTATATATTTAATTTGTTCATGTAATCTTGGTTGATTTTTGCGCTATACGTGCAAAGGCAGCCGTAGGAAAAGACGAGTGATAAATGAAATAATCCGGTTTAATGAATGCGCTGTATCAGAGATATTTAATTTGAGGTGAATTCCCCTACGGTTAGGCATTCCCTTTTCACCGCAATCCCTCCAGTCTCTATAACGTACGCCCAACATTACAAAAAAGTAATTCTTATTCCGAGTAGCTCTTTCATTAAAGAGTTAATTAAAAGCACAACGGCAGAAACAAAAACAAAAAACGAAACATCTACTATGCAAGTATAAAAATAATATTTCCTTTCTGAATACGTAATCCCTTTAATGCTGATTTTCACTTGTTTCAATCCCTCCTTAAGCTTTTTTCGTAATAAAATTTTTCCCTCTCTATCTCTATTATAAGTATTGAATATATTTTGCTGTGTACATTTCATCAGTGTTGCCAGATTATGCATTTCTTTCCTAATTTTGGGTAAAAATGTTTCTATTTGCATTAGTGAAATGAAATTCTTGGTGAAACTCTTTTTTTTTTCAACCGTACCTTTTTTTAATTTACATTAGCACTGGGCATTCTTGTATTTTGTTGTGATTTATTTTATTCCACTGAATAAAATATTTTAAAACTAATCACAATTTTTATATCTTTTTAATTTTGCAAAAGATACTTTTTTTAATATACTTACAGTACTATCATAACTACTTGTATAAATTAGTCCATTACCCTAAGGTTGTCTTGAAAAGATTGCTCTCAGCAATAAAACCGCCTTACTGTACTTATACAATTGTATCGTTGTGTTTGGAAATTGTCTTGCTTATTTCTTATATTGTATAATGCAAATAAAGTATACTCATTCATTTATTCATTCAATAATAATTTCAAAATATTTCCGTTAGACTTTAAAAAGGTATGAAGAAATACATACATGGCATCATAAATATTTGAATTTAGAACTTTTCTTGTTTGTAGACCGCTTTCTGTACACACGACGATCCTGTCCTAGATCTATCATACCCGAAGACTTCTAACGTGGTATATCAGACAAAGACTACATGCATTTCGAAGCATAAAGTGAATGATAATCATTTTAACCAATATTGAATTTAAATTATCAAATATAATCCAACTAAACTGTCATTGCTCTTAATATTACTTTATTATTGAAGTATTATAGTAACTTACACACTTATACACCTCATTAATTTCTTTATTTCAGTTCAGAAAATAATCGTCGACTATTAGGTACATAAAAGGCAGCCATTGTTTACCGAACGGCAAATATTTGCGGTCTTCTAGGGTGCGAGGAATAGCTGTGGAAAGAATTTTTTCATTTCTCCCATTCAATATCAGGAATTCGGTAACTTATTGTGTTTCGATTCACTTCAGTGCGATTACAGAGGACTATTGCGGAAACAAACTAGTGACTCTTTTTATAGAAATACGACACATTTATACATAGTATGTATAATAATAGTTTCTTTTTTTTTGATGAGTGAAAATGGTATGGTAACCCCGCCTGCGCTAACGGCATACGCTAGCGGAGTACCAGTGAAGGGTGATAGATGAGAATAAAAACAGGCCAGCTAGCCCATCATAATGAATTCATCAGGAATTAACCATGATAGTTCCCAGGGGGAACCACGAGGAGGTCGACCTGCTTAGGTATATTGCTAGCAATGGGATTCTCAGTCTCCATTACTAACAATACCTTTCCTCCCAATAATAGTTCCTTAGGTTATATACCTAGAACGTCTTTATACAAATGCTTCGCCAAACACGTCTCAACTTTTTATCCATGTGTACATGAATACGATACTATCATCGTCGTCATATCAGTTTTTAACCGTCTATTGCTAATCATAAGCCTTCCCCTTAGGGGATTTTGCCAGTAGTTGCCACGCTTGCCAGGCGGGTTGGCAACCGCAGTCAGGGCTTTAGAGGTGTTTTAAAAAAGGACGCTGCTGCACATCCCTCGCTCTCTCTTGTTTGGCTTTTACGACAGCCACCGGAAAGGAATAGATGGCCTATTCTATGCCGGGACCACACGGTCAATGGATATCATAATGTCCAGTAATTACTGAGTATATGAGAAAAATATGCATCGAAAGATTAAATCGAAAAATAAAAGTGATACATAATACCTAGGAACATATTTGAATTTGAAATAATAAGGTAATAAAGTGCCTCCAGCTGTAATTGAGAAATATCGTTTCATTTCTTTGAAATATAATAGATAATACGTTCTTATATTCTATCTATTTATTTATTTATTGAAGACATTCGAAAAAAATGTTTGGTAAAAAAGGGGAACTTAATATTATATAATAATCTCTCTTCAGATGAATATTATATAGCATTAATTAATTAAGAATAGCAATGGTTGGGGTATCATGGGCGACACAGTATACTCTGCTATGTCCGTGGTATTTTTCATGTCTATAGACGACAGCTACCGCTTTCCATCAGGGGACCCGTCTGCTTGATTGCCATTATGGTTAAATAAAAAAAAATTAAGTCCGCCTTTTCGAAATCTCTTGTATAAATTTTTTTTAATACCAATAAATCTTTAATTGTCCACAGATATAAGTCAGAGTCAACTGCTTTGCCGCGGTTTGTCCGCCCACAAGGTGTGCGGATTACGTGCGCATGCGCCGCGAATATCATTCACAAGTAAGGACGAGCCTGAACTGCATGAAATTCGGCGCAAATCTGCCAGCAGCCGCCTGGGGAGCTCGCCTAGATCAAGCATAGCGAGTGAAGATCGTGCTGATGGTATAGCACTAAGGTAGGTATTTTAAAATGTTCTTTAAATTTCTACGTAGACAACGAACTTGGGACGAAAATGTAATGGTAACCACGTCTGCGCTAACGGTATTCGCTGGCGGTGATAACCTAGAGTGAAATCAGCCTCATTGCGATAAATTTACTAGAGATTAATCATGAGGATTTTGAGAGCGACCGTGTGAAAGTTGACCTTATAGGTTGACCTTAAATACTAGTAACAGAGTCGCTAGAGGCCTCCCCCATTGATAATGAGCATTTTGTTCCAGAACAAATTTTTTTCTTTATATAAATCGTATACTTACACGTTTATTGCTTTAGTTAAAATAGTATTCTTTAGTGTCAAATGTTTATAGAGGTTTCTGATGTTCTCTACTGAAAGATAATTTCACGTGAAGCTTTCGAAGTAAGACAATTATTTTTCAATGATCAATGATTCGATCTTGGTATACGTGGACTGCAGCCAAGCATTCTATGACTAAATTGCAACCGTCCTTAATATGAGCTAATTTATTATTTCTAATGACTTTGCAATTTGACATACTCATTATATCACCAATTTATATAATTTATTAAGTAAGAATATTCTATATAAATGAAAATTAATTGTTAAATATATTGCTAAGCGCAAAACTTAATAACAGCTGGATTGATTTAGCTATTTTTTTTTATTAAATATTCGTTGAAATTCGAAGACGATTTCTATGAAGAGAAAAATTTTATCCTAGCTGCTAATTTTTTTTAAAAAATTTCTATCACGCTACCTTATAGGAAATAACATTGATAGATTCATAATTATATTTATAATTAAATAAATAAATATTATATTTTTTTTATTTTTTTCTTATACGTACTTGAATGTACAAATATGAATATAAAATACATTAGTTTTCATTCGTAAATATAATTAAATATTTCGCTACGTTCCGAATATTTGAATCTAATTTCCGTGGGAAATACACATACAATATTCGTAGGTTTGTAACTGTCTGTCACGGAAATTAGATTTTCTCTAGACTGGCAGGTGGGTTTAGGCATACCTAACAGGATATTGACATTATTTGACCTTATATTGCCAGTAAAACCTAGACGTGTAACAGTACTGGTATCTCTAATTCTTTTTGATTCATTTCGTTTACACAGGTCTGGTTTTAGTGTGTCTAATTCCGCTCATCTAAATATTTGATGTCAAATATAATGTTAGTACTGAATGCCAATAATATACTGTATTTAATATAGTAATAATTTACTTTATATCTGTACGTTACTATCCCTATATCATCATAGGTACAGAGGAATAACACCTGAGACCTCAGGAATGGCAACGCATGGAGGGTATCATGGGCGAAACAGTATACTCTGTTATGTCCATAGTACTGCTCATGTCTATAGGCGACGGTTACCACTTTCCATCAGGTGGGCCGTCAGCTTGTTGGCCATTCTAAGTTGTATAAAAAAATTATCATCATATCAGCCATCATTTATTTATTTATTTCTTTAAAGGAACACCAACAGCATATGCATTATAACACATATAACAAACATTAAATACAAGACAATATTAATGCACATGCCTATTAAAGGTATTCACAGCGTTTACTTTAACATAATTATACAATGCGAGAAAATGAAGTAACAATTATAATGAATTAAATAACACTAGTAAATAATAATAATAACACACACATCATCTGTCCAGTGCTGAACATAGGCCTCTCCCATAGACTGCCATAAGAAACAGAGTCGTTTCTTATAGCAGTTTATCATTGAGGGCTTTGCTAGTAGTTGCTACCTTTGACAGGCGGGTTGACAACCGTAGTTTTAGGTTTTTAGTGATGTTTTAAAAGGGACGCCGCTACTCATCCCTCGACCAATAGACTTTCTTCTATATTATTCCTATATACTTTTAAAAAATGTGACCAAGACTTTTCTTAGTGGATGATAATGAAATAGTTAAGGTTGCCTGGAAGAGATCGCTTTTAGCGATAAGGTCGCCTATTGTTTTCTCATTGTGATTATTTCTTGTAATTGTTTATATCTAGAATAAGTTTACTGTTGTAATCTTTTGAAGGAAACAATAAAGAGTATCTATCTATCTATCTATCTAATGTCACAATCCCATTAGAAATCACAAATTCTTGATGAATACGTCATAAGAGTCAAATGTCGCTCCTCCAGCGTATATCAATAACGCAGGCGGGGTTCTCATACCATTATCGTCCATTGAACAATAAAAGTTCTTTCTCCTCCAAGTTACCAAGGTTGGAGATTAGCTTCACCACCGGTAGACTGAACTGCCGCGTAGACAGTTTCTCCAGATAGCACAGTCCCACTGTTCAATCAGTAGTATCAACGAATTTATTAGATGTGACCGTTTATTGATTTGTGTGGTGTCAATCGACCCTCCTCACTTTGACCTTAAAACCGGCATTAGTGGTACATAGTATTCAGTCTAGATCATATTAATATTAAACAACTAGACGAAGTGTCATGTGTCAAAAACTTCTCAGAAAACGATTTGTCAGCTGTTGGCTGACGAGTCGATTTTAATACTTTCTCTTCAAAATGTCCAACCTTCTCTTAGCGTGTACAGATATATAAAAGTATAGTAAAAATAAATAAATAAAATTATAGTTAGCGTGATAAAAGTAACCAATTACTATATATATATATATATATATATATATATATATATATATATATATATATATATATATATATATATATATAAGAGAAATTATAGCTGGTATATATAGGTACACATTATTAGTGACTACATTAGCTACATATTATTTTAAAAAATTTTAGATCCTTCTTTTTTTTAAACTTGAGAAATCTGCGTATTAAAGTTAATATAAAATACAAACTACATAAACTAAAAACATAAAATAAAAAATACTCTCCTTCTATCTACCCGTGCGCATTAGGGGCAGATCGCTAGTATTAAGTTCTTAAGATATTTTTATAAACATACCATTTTGAAGTAAAATTTTGAAATATTTTTGTTTAAGGATTTCGCCTGTTCTAGTTTCAGTTAAATATATCGGATCTGAAATTCAGTTACATTACATGTCTGACATTTTTTGGGACAGGCAATTTTTTTAAATAATTATTTTTATTTTTATTTGAGAATTAAATAAATGCAATTGAATGACATTAAAGAAGAAATAAATAAACGAATAGCAAACAAGTAGAAAAATGAAATACTCTTAAAAAAATATAACTATTTTTGTGTCGTACTAATTTGGGTTATCCCCATGCAGTAACCATTCTGTAATTGATATTAATCGCAGTAAGTAATTGACACAAGTGCTCGTAATTAATTATTGTTGTTACTAAATAAGTTATATATAATAGATGCTTAATAATAATTGAAATGCTTTTACGCTGATATAACTGAATAAGTGTTTTATAGTACAACGTAAAGGTGGCAAACTGTTGCAAAAACTCAATAATAATCTTTACCTTTGTACCCACAGATTATAAGACGAAAAACTTCATTATGTTCCGCAAAAAATGTTTTTTTTTATACAACTTAGAATGGCAAACAAGCTGACGGCCCACCTGATGGAAAGTGGTAACCGTCGCCTATAGACATGAGCAGTACCATGGACATAACAGAGTATACTGTTTCGCCCATGATACCCCCCATGCGTTGCCATTCCTGAGGACTCAGGTGTTATTCCTCTGTACCCAGTAAAGTAAGTTAAGACTTTAATCATGAACACGCACATACACATTGATGTACGATGACGTCATACATAGATTATGTTCATGTTCGTTAAATATATTTGAATTAAGAACACGACATTTTTGCGCCGCAAAGTAATATGGCAACTTCAAACGTCACAAAATTAATATTGAACCAATTCGTTCGTATTATGTATGCGGCTATGCTACCCGATTACGTTGCCAAATCTTAACCAATTTTAATATTTACTTTATTTAAATCGAAAGGGTTTTCACAGTTACGTGTTTTACATTCATTCGTCTAGAAATTACATAATTTCGTGTTCAAATTTTTTTTTTATACAACTTAGTATGGAAAACAAGCTGATGGCCCACCTGATGGAAAGTGGTAACCGTTGCCTATAGACATGAGCAGTACCATGGACATAACAGAGTATACTGTTTCGCCCATGATACCCCCCATGCGTTGCCATTCCTGACGACTCAGGTGTTATTCCTCTGTACCCTGTAAATTCACGCCATATCCCATCCTTCAAACCGAATCACAGCCATGCAAACACAACTGCTTCACGGTAGAAACACGAATGGGACAGAGGTGCCCAAGCAATCGACTTTTGTACAAAGTCTCCCTCTGGTTCAATTAAAATATTTTCGTTATTCGTCATTATATATTATCATAATAAAAAACCACTTTGACTGTAACCTTTGAGCACGTGAAATGAGTAAATAAAACGTAATAGAGAAATATATTAGATAATACACTTTCTGTCGTAAAACAGTTTAACTGTCGTATTAAAGAGGCTCGTAAAATCTTGTTATTTGTACAAACAGTCCTCGTTCCCCGCACAATTTAAGATCTAACTTTGATATAGACTAGTTTTCACATGCGACATCTTTCAGTTAATGCGTAGTTTATAAGGTATCTCCGTTGACTCGTGTTTCAACTGCTGAGCACTTGTGCTTGTATTTTGATATTAATCTACTTTATTATTTCTTTCAAAGCGTATTAAGAGAATAACGAAGTACTGTAACGTCGAAATTATCGTTCCATTCGTGTTTCTGTCGTGAATCAGTTGCGTTTACATGGCTGTGTTTCAGTTTGAAGGGTAGCATATGGCAGGGAATTTAAAGGGTACAGAGGAATAACACCTGAGTCCTCAGGAATGGTAACGCATGGGGGATGTCATGGGCGAAACAGTATACTCTGTTATGTCCATTGTACTGTTCATGTCTATAGGCGACGGTTACCGCTTTCCATAAGGTGGGCCGCAGTTTCTTGGCCATTCTAAGTTGCATAAAAAAATCTGTTAGTTT